CGCGCGCGCGCGCGCGGGGGAGCGCGCGCACGGCCCTCTACACCGTGACGATGAAAATTCCGAACGATAGACGATGATAAGACCGTCTAATATTTCCTTCTTCTACGGGATATTCGCCAATTTCTTTATTCCACTCCCCTCCGTTCTTCTTATTCTTCCGCTTTCTCGATACGAAGAAATTCCTCCCGTTCGATCGCTTTTCGCGTTCGATTTTCGCTGTATGCGTGGTTAAACTGCTCACCTTTTTTTTTTTTTTCTTTTTTTTTTCTTTTTACAAACTCGACGATTCCACTTGTGTCGTTTCGATACGCGAAACACTAGACGAGGCACAAAACGGACGGATCACGCGTCCGATCGGTTCACTCGGATATCCGGAACGGTTTTATCCACCGTACGAGTATCGAATCTTAGCCAGGATTTCGAGAGATAAGTTGTTCCCAGAGAAAATTTGGATGAGCTGGATGGTCGGTCCTCGTGGCACCGTATCGTCTCGACCGTGGCGCACCTTCGAAATCGCGTCGTGTCGCGTCGACTCACTCGGTCGAATTGTCGTGAAAGAAGAGTCGCGTGCTTTTAATATCCAGCATGTTTCGACTACAAATACAGACGAGGTATAGGTACGTGCAATCCCGTTTGCTTAACTTCAACGTTCAGTTTCTATCATGCGGGTCTAAAGGAAGTTTTGCGTGGACCAGCGCGCGACCCATCAACGTTTTTCTTCTCTTCTTTTTCTTCTTTTTCTTCTTGTTTTCTCTCCTCTCTCTCTCTCTCTTATATCCTTGTTCTTTGTTTCTGTCGCACTGCTTCTCGTTCCGAGAGGCAAGAAAAGTTTAGAATGGCGCGTATCGGCGTGAAAATTAACGGAAAGGTGCAGCGTTTGGAACGTTTCGGTACGATCGACGAATCCACTTTTCGCGGTTTTGGACCACCAATCTTTATCGACGGTCGCGATGGTGGCGCGACCGATAATGATTCCGTTTCGTGAAAATGATTCGATTTCTTTCTTTTCTCTGTCTCTTTCCTTCCCTCTTCTTTCTTTCTTCTTTCCTTTCTTCCGCTCGTCCTTTCCTTTCAAAAATATTCCACGTTCGTAAAATTCCGCGTTCGTGGTCGCGCGAACTAAAAGCAAGCCTGCAACGCGGACGGCAGTTAAACCACGCAGCCACGCACGCACATACACACTTTTTTGGGGTCGTGCGCGTGACACGGAAACACCGACCCCGTAGCCGCGCACCAGCAACTACGCGCGGGTCGTATAACGAACGTGCCGAGAGTCCCTCTTCGAGAGACGACGGAAACTTCGGTGCACCTTTCGTCTCACGGCCTGTCTTTCCAACTCGCACGCGCACACGCACACACACGCGCCGAAATTTCTCCCTCCGTTGATCCCCTCTCTCCCTATTTCTACTCCCTACCCCTCCTTCCAACCGATACTTTCCCCATCTTGTTCGTGCTTTCGTTTCACGCGATTTTCCTCTTTTAACCACCCTTCCCTGCTCGCCACCGCTCTCTCCCTATTTAACTCTCTCCTCTTCTCTTTCTTCCCCCCCTATTACCGTTGCTTTCTAACCGATCCTCCTCCATCTCTTTCGGTTTCTATCTATCTCTTTTCCATCTACGTATTCGTGCCAGTTGTAATCTCGGGTGGATCTCTTGCGCGCGCGCCTCTATCTCGTCTCTCTTTCCACCTACGTCTCTCTCTCTCTCTCTCTCTCTCTCTTCCTCTTCACGCAGTTATCATCATCTATCCCCTTTCTCTTTCAACCCTCCTACCCTTTATACCCATTTCCGTTCTTCCGAGAAGCAACGCGACTCGTAGAATGGATCCTTTCTCTTCTCCGGGAAATCATCTATATCGTCTATATCTTCGACCGACCATCAGCCAGTGATTATATTACCTGTAACAAAAATTTGCACGGCGTGTTACCGTGAATCGATAGCGATACCAATATCGTCGATATCTCAAACATGTTCTTCACCGATCCAGGAATCCCATGTTGCTTACTCTGCATATTGACATAGGGCAAAAAAGTGTCGCGTGATCCGCCATCTTCTTTTTATCGTTCCCGTCCAGGGAGCTCCGACCATCTCCACCCCAAATGTCTGTTTCCCTTTGCCTCGATTCTACCCTTCGCTCTGTTCCCCTACTTCGACGACCCACGATGCCCTTGCCTTGCTATCAGCTTCGCGTTTATCTGTCCTTCTTTTTCCTATTCCCTTTCTTCTCTCTCTCTTTCTCGTTCATCTTACCCCTTACTCGCTTTTTGGTTCCTCGAGCTTTCTCCCTCCCTCTTGCGCAGTTTCCCCTATCGCCGATTTTCCACCTCTTCCACTCTCTTATCTCACCGTATTTTTCCAACTAAAAACAACGGTACACACGCTGTCGGTTGCCTTCTGCCTCTCACAGTGCGTCGCTTCTACTTATTTTTTAACATCTGCTTATTTTCCTTCTCCTTTATTCTTTTATTCCTTATCTTTCGAGTTCATCTATTTTTCACCAAAATTCCTTTGATTGCCCTAAAAAAATTTTTCTTCATTCATCTTTCTATCCATCGTTCTATTTTATATTTGCTTCCTAGTTTATTTGTTCGTTATAATAAATTAACATTTCGTTTGTCACAATTCTTCTCGGTTATTATAAACTTTATAAATTGGTATAATATTTATTATGCACACGTACTTGTTGAATCTCTGATCTGAGATCTAAATAATATTTAAGAAAAAATATTTGCAATAGAAATGCTCACAGAACATCGTTTCGTTCTGTATCATCGAATTTGACAGTTGCGAGATGTTGAGTGACTGAAAAAAGCCCGCCAGATCATGGTATCCTCGAATTTGATTTTGCGCTTTGTTTCTTGACTGACCTACTATCGTAAATATCCAATAAAAAAATAATTTCAATTTATTTGGAATTTCTATTTCTTTGTAATATTATCTATCTCTTTTAATACAATGCTTAATCATTTTTTTTTATCTATTCGAAAAAGAAAAATTTTTCATTACCTATTCGAATGCGTTTCAAACAATAGTTGTTGTATAAAGTGTTACTTAATGATACATCACGTTGCGATGATTATTACATTTTAACGATCTATATATGCTTATTATAAAAAAGTAATCGACACATTTAGAGTTGAAAATGATGTTCGAAATATACCTGTCGACGATGCGGCATTAAAAGCACAGAGCGCATGTACCACGTTAGCATCCAAAGCGAGCACATTTTCTTGCGCACGGATACACGACGCATACACGAGAAGGCGTATCCTATCAAGGACGTTTCACAGCATGTCCATCTCCCTCTCCTCCTCTTCTCTTTTGTACTTATTCCCCCACCTATTCCAAAGTTAGGTCGGGAATATTATTGCGCATGACCACAGACGAAGGGAAATATTCGCGAATCGATAATTCGCGAACAACTGCAGCAACAACAACGGGTTAGTCACGCGAACGACTAGCCCATTCGATTATTATTCGAGCAATTCGCACAAGGATAAATTATAGTAGTCTTCATGGTACGTAGGTTGTATAATAATAAGCTAAATGTGAAAATTTATTACGATCATGTTTTGTCTGGATTAGAGAAATTTCAAAAGTTTGGAAAAAGAAAGATAAAATGTACTAGTCCTCTATTGAAGAAAATAGAGTATGAAGTTGCAGCGAGTTTATCTGTGTCTGCTTATTAATCGGTGTTGCTATTTTGCATTTGTTTTGTTTCAATTCAGTATTCTTCGATGTCAACTTAAAATACAAAATAATCGAGCATATATAAATGCTATTATGCCGGATTGTTACATTCCAGTAATTATGTAATTTTGTACGTTTCAACTTTATATGTCTGAAACTATCAGGTTTTTGAAATATATTTCTATTTGCATTAGAATTCTCTAAGATCATTTTTTCATTAAAAAATATTTTGAATATTATTACTACAGAAGAAAATGTGATATTTACAAATATTAATTATACAATATATTTTCGATCATTAGAATTGATTCCCATTAGACTGATCAGAAAATAATAATAAATTAAAAGCAGATTATAGATTCGGATATTTTTTTTACTTTATTACGATCGAAGAGAATTAATTAAACCTGTGAAAAATACCTGATCATTTTTTTATAATTACGCGACCATCGATGCTTCATCTAATATAACTTAATAACTTAATAACTTTAACAATATAACTTCTTCAGACTGAAATCGATCATACTTTAAAAATTTATCTTAATATGCGTAATATCATAATCTTCAATTATCTCAAATTGCCTTGATCTTTTCATTCGATTTTTCCTAACATTATTAGATAAACTTTGAAATATAGTCACTGAACTAATCAATCTCTATTAAAAGATATAAATATATATTTAAAATGCTGTATAATCCATTATTTATGCTATATTATTTCTAATCGAAAAAATTTTTTCTTCTCTTCTATTAACAACATAAAATTCATTCAGACATAATTATCTTTATACATAATTCGTCAATTGTTCTAAATGTAATCATATTGCATCTTACATGTCAAAATTATTTTAAGTTTTCAAATTGAATATTTCAATAAAAAGAAAGAAATATTTATATAGAATAGAAAATTTTATATATGAAAATTTTACGTTTTACATTTCAGTTGGAAAATTTGTTTTCATAAAAAAACAAAAAAAAATATAAAAAGAAATAAAATATTCCGCAAAAAATTGTCTAATCAAAATATCCATGATAAATTTTTATTTTTTTTTTTTATGAGATACGCTAGACATTACGTAATGACATTTTTGTTTTTTGAGTCAAATATGTGGAAGCAATAAATAATGAATAGACAAATTGCGTTGTATCGAAAATATTATCCACATGTAATTTTTTTATAATTCATTTTTTACATATATATTCTATATATATATATATGTATGTGTTTTATATACAATATATACAATTATATATTTTAACAAAACGTATATATTATGTACACAAGTAAGAATACAACGTTATTTGCTTATATTGAATTGTCGAAAATATGTAAAAATATCTCTAATTTTTTTCATTTTTGTATTTTTTGATATCATAAAGGGACTGTATTTGAATGATTCAAAAAAATAATTATGATTACGAGTCGGAAACTAACTAGTTAGTCACATCGAACGTGCTCGATTTTGTGATCACCGTTTATAAAGATGCAGCAAGAGCTAGAAAAAAGGATATTGAACAGTATGGGTAACAGAAGAGGAAAGATCAAGAGGATGAATAAGAAAGATTTAGAGGTGGAGGAAGAAATCGGGGTTGCTGCGATAGCGAAGGTGGAGAGGATGAGGCTATTCGGAAGACTGAAGAGGCCGAAGCTATGAAGAACGGAGCACGATCTTTCCTTGTCATCGTGACCGTCTCTGGCCGATTTTTAAACAAGGAGGCGAATTCAAACGGCATTGTGTCGTCACGTGCAGCCACTCGCTCTCTCTCAACAGAATGTTGTTAGAACCTCTTTCCTCTGTATAACCGCAAAACTTTTATATATTGTCTCTTCTTCCAGTTTTCTTCTATCCTTATTTTACTTCTCTATTTTATTCTTTCCTTTCTCATATCCATTGTTTTTGTTTTCTTACAATTAATAATTTATATTTTTTTCATTAACATATATATATATATTATAAGCATTTATAAGCATTCTTGTTAAATTTTTGTGTAAAATAAAAAATGCAGATCGATTACAATTCCTATTTCCTTCTTTGAAAAACTTTCAATATTTTTTATTTCGATTACCTTCGAAATAATAATTTCCTTTTACATCGACATGCATTAATATTGTGTCATGATTATATTCCAATTTTATTTTCATTATTACATATTCTCTAATATGTTATGTGATAATTTTAGAATTTTTTGAACGCGATATTTCTCTATTGTTCAAGATTCGTTTAAATGCTATAACTATTTCGTTTCGATTTATCAGTGTAAAAACTACATATGATAAAACACAAAATATAAATATTTCTTTATTTTTCTCTGAATAATACATCTAGCATTAAACAATAAGATGATAGCAAGTCTAATCTTTCGGTTCGGATATCATAATGGTTAAGTAAAAATTCATTTTTTAATATTGTAAAATATACATATACATGTACATACATACATACGAGCGTTTGCATGCACAATAAGATCACACATACCAGTTATTTACACAGTTTTATACAATATTTTCTTTATTCTTTTCTTCTGAAAGATTTTCTTTAAATATCAATTAAATCACAGCAACCATCTCCTAATTTATATTAATTATTCCTCTATAATTATTTAAATGTCTTCCGTCACAATATTTTCTCTTAATGACATTTTATATAAGTCTTGTGTCATTATTAGGAAATGGCTAAAAAAATTTTCTTTTCTATTAATATAGACAAATTTACAGAATATGTATGAATACGTATGAAAATGACATGTCAAAAACATTCAATTATATTTTTTCATATTTGTTTTTTTAGAAAATTAATATATAATGTTAAAATTATCATCATATACCTACAATTTTTTAAAAAATTTAAATTCGATTTATATAACATGTAACATTCGAGATATTACCCATCAGAATTTTATTATATATTTAAATTCTATATCTTTCTATATGTCTTGCATAAAAGAAAATTACTATTTTTGGTTTTTTAATTTATATATATATATATATGTATGTATATACAATAACAAATAATATTTACAAATATATGTTGTGAATCATATAGTTAAAAAATATATATTTTTTCATTCATTTGCTGTGTGTGTGTGTGTGTGTGTGTGTGCGCGCGCGCGCGCGCGCGCGTATATGCGTG